ACCCTGTCCTACACAAACACAAAACTATATACGGCAATTAATTCCTGCTTGTCCCTTCATCCCTCATCGGCCCTGCCGGCGCGTATCGACGCAGATTACTGCTGATGGTCCGTTTTATCACCACGGAATATACAGCGCGGAGCGACCATAGACACACACGCACGCACACCCACACACGCCGCCTGAAACCAGAAACAACGATGATGAACTCTTAAGTTACAATACAGATGCCAGCGCACGGACCCGTGACCTTACAGGAGCATTACAGTGGGATTATATACCTGGTGACACGACGAGCCGCGCACGGAGCAGGCGCACGGAGCAGGCAAACCAAACGAGTGGAATGTTTTACAGTTTATAGTTGATGGTAAATAAACAAAAGGGAAGAACAACAACAAAAAGTGGCCTTAAAGCTTCATTAAAGCGCCTCACGATCCACGTTAATATGGATCCGTGACAGGCTGGATGTTGGACATCTCACCGTATATCTACAAATTAACTTGTTCATTTGAATTATTATAGGAACATTTAAAAATCACACGTGGAATCCCCGAGCCTTACAGGAATTTAAACATGCCACGGAAATACCAGAAATGATTAAAATATGTGTCCAAGACAGAAAATGTCAAACCAGTCTTCCCAGTAAGGTGACAGCCCAGCACTACACTGGCGCCTGATGAGTCAGAAACAGCGATTTGTGGAGCTGTGTGTTTTCACTGAACCTCCCGAGGCCCACGTCGGTTGTTTCAGCCTGATGCTGTCTGTGAAAACCAACGCTGCAAAGGAAATATCGGCTAATACGGCGCGGAGGTCAAATAAAATTAAATATTATCGAAACAGCCGCAGAAAAAACATTACAGGCATTTTATGAAGATTTTCTCTGCGTCCCGTCCAGCACCGGAGTCACGCCTCGGTCTGAACGGCTGAGCGTGATTTCAGCCCAAACCGGGAGAGTCTGGAGCCAAACACCGGACTAACGGGCCGAGCTTCAGCCGGAGCGGGTCCACAGTTAGTTTTATGTGGGACGGGACACCCCGAGCTCACTGGTGAAACGCACCTCCAGGATGAGGACAGCGGTGGGTGTTTGTCTTTTACGCATCACGGCGCTCTGTCAATATCTGTCTCACTCGGACTCACAGCAGACAAGTAAGAAAGGAGTTTGGCCAATTCACGCGGAGTAAAGACGTGCTTTCTGGGGAAAACACTAAAAATAACAGGACTAACAATACATAAAGATAAAATAAAAAATAACGACTGTTAAAATAAAACGTTAAAAATAAAGCAGAGTTTTAAATTCATTTAAAAGGTGTGGTTCTGTTTAAACGCCCCCAAAGACACAAAATAAATAGTCCTGAAATAAAACGAATATGGAAGTAATCGATTACTTTCATTGCAGTTAAGTGGGATTAACCATGAGCGCGCACAACTGGGAAGAAACACCTCAAATAGACTCTGGTAACTCTGGTAACCACGGACCGTGAGCTGCAGGCCTGCTGCTGTCTGAGGGTTGGAACCCCGGCCGAGCTGCTGACCTCTGACCCATGACCCTCCGCGCCCCCTCCCCTCCTCCTCCAGCTCCTACTGTCCAACATGGCAGCCGTCAAACTGTAACGCGTGTCACACGTGGATTCAGGACCTCTTCTTCTTATAAATAAAATAAATACTTGTTAAAATGAATGATTTTATGTGTTCAGCAGAATTTAAATCACGTGCGTATTTAATATTAAATGTAATTTTTTAATAGTTTAAAGAGCATCACATTTTAAGCTGATGAGAATCTGAGGAAAGATTAAGGTGGTAACAAATATGTAAATGACCGTTAATTTATTTCTCACCTGCTTCACAAGTCCAAATAAATGTGCAGTTAAAGCCTGACACTAATTCTGTGGGGCTTTGATTTAATATACACTATAAAAACGCCATTAAATATTGAGGAGAATGCAGCAAATCAAACTTGTAATAAACTAACAGTTGTTTATAACACTGCATTTCTGTCTGAAATAATAAAAAACTGAATTAGAAATAATTAGAACTTTTCCTATATTTACAAATAATCTATGTATTCAATGAGGCACAATAAGATTCCCAGGGAGCTCTTTTTTTTTACTGCACACACAACGTTCCTGGACAAATATAACAGATATTATAAAACTATGAAAATACGAATAGAGACAGTTTGTCACGGCAGGGAACAGTGCTGCAGCTCCCGACTGAGAACTGGAATATTACAACAGTGTAATCCAGCTGCTGTATAAATAAGCTTTATTATGATGCAGTAAAACAATACTGCAAAGTTAAACAAGATTAAAATCCTACAGGGTCACAACTCAGTGCCGAGGCTGCAGAAAACATGAGAAGACTATGGAGACGCCTAAGAGACATAAGATTGTCACAGAATATTTAGCAGCTTAAACATAGTGACAAGCGCCACAGGGTCAAAGGTCAGAGACACAGTCTGTGACCCTATCAGAGGAGAACAGTGTCCTGACTGGCTGCATGTTAACACAACTGACTAAAGTGACAGGTCTGTTTGTGTGTGTGTGTGTGTGTGCACGTACGGTTGTTGAGCTCTCCTGTGTGGTTGCTCAGTGGGATGATTTCCATCCTCTGCTGTCCGTACAGGTAGTAGTCCAGCTCCTCCGACGTCAGCTTGAACCGCGTCGTGGCTCCTTTTCCACCCTCCTCGCTGCCTCCTCCGCTGCTGCTGCTCCCAGTGCTGCTCTTCACGCTGGACGACACCAGACCTACCCCTCCACAGCTCTGCTCTTTGGCCTGATGGAGGAGCACCACTGCTGGGTTGTGACCCTGCTGGTTCTCCGGGGGGACAACGACCACCAGATCTCCTCCTGGTCCTCCTCCTCCCCCAGGTCCTCCAGGCCCGGCACACACCGGGGCCAACGCCTGCCCAAAGAGTGCAATCTGCTGGGGGACGGGCAGCTGGGAAAGACCTGCGGAGGTGGAGATGGAGATGGAGGAGGACGGCGTGAGAGCTGCTGCCGCTGACGCCGGAAGAGAA